CAGATTTCGTGGCAGGCACAGCACTTGGTGAACCTCGAAGTGCAGATTTCGTGGCAGGCACAGCGCTTGGTGAACCTCGAAGTGCAGATTTCGTGGCAGGCGCAGCACTTGGTGAACCGCGCATGGTGAACCTTCAAGTGCAGATCGTGACAGGCACAGCGCTTGGTGAACCTCGAAGTGCAGATTTTGAGGCAGGCGCAGCACTTCTCACCCTTGTTCATTTGATCTGTGCTCTCAGATGTGTGCTGACAACGTTTACTCTCAATCACGCTCACAACGCCCACGCTCAGTCTGACTCGCAGAGGTTTTAATTCTCATTCACGCTCACACTCACTCGCTCATGGAGTCACTTGCCTTGCTGCGTGATGTGGTCAGTGTGCTCTCAGATGTGTGCTCTATAGACCTCTGACTCTTGTCGGTGCACCTGGCGCGGTTTTTATTTAGGTGCACAGCTCTCGGATGTGTGCTGACAACGTCTACTCTCACTCTGACTCTCTCGCTCTCAATCACACTCACAACGCCCACCTCATTCTCAAGCCACATAGTACATGCCTGGTAGCTCACACATGCCGAGAGCGTGGGCGTTGTGAGTGTGATTGAGAGCGAGAGAGTCAGAGTGAGAGTAGACTTTGTCAGGGCACATCTGAGAGCAGAGATCAAATCTGGCGTGGGTGGAACCACGCCAGGTGCACCGACAAGAGTCGGACGTCTATCGCATCTCAGAGCACGCTCACCGCTGCCTCACAGAGCTTCTCATTCTCAATCGCGCTCACACTCACTCGCCCATTCACTCACTTGCCTTGCGTGTGATGTGGTGAGTGTTCTCTCAGATGTGATAGACCTCTGACTCTTGTCGGTGCACCTGGCGTGGTTCCACCCAGGTACTACTTGTCTATGTTTTTTCGTTGCAGGTGGACCTGGCGTGGTTCCACCCAGGTACTTTTGGCTAACTTTGGTTTCGAAACGTTTTCCTTCGCGCTTGCTGTGTTTTTCACCAAACAGTGTGGGCACACAGAGGGGTTCTTGCGGTAAGTGAAAAGCAGGTATGCTTAGATCGCTGTTCCGCGCGGCCGTGTCCGGCTCATTTGCTGCTATTTACAGTACATTCATGCCTCTCGACATCGTCCGTGTGCATTTCGACTGCGCAGGCTCGCAGAATCTGGGTGTGGTGCCGTGCACATTTTCGTAGGTGGTGGTGACTTTTCGTGGCAGGCGCAAGGGAAACCTCGTGTTTTGGTGCTCCAAAGTCGACTTTTCGTGACAGGTGCAAGGGATCGGAGCTGTTTCACTTCGAAGTGCAGTTTTCGTGGCAGGCGCAGCACTTTGGACATGGTGGTGATCGTCGAATAGCTCAGATTTCGTGACAGGTGCAGTGAACCGTGGCTTTTGGACATGTGGCTCGTTTGCAGATTTCGTGGCAGGCGCAGCACTCTGTGACCCTTGGTGTGCAGATTTCGTGGCAGGTGCAGCGCTTTGTGAACCTCGAAGTGCAAATTTCGTGACAGGTACAGCGCTTTGTGAACCTCGAAGTGCAGATTTCGTGGCAGGCGCAGAACTTGGTGAACCTCGAAGTGCAGATTTCGTGGCAGGCGCAGCGCTTGGTGAACCTCGAAGCGCAGATATGGTGACAGGCGCAGCGCTCTGTGCCCCTCAGTGTGCAGATTTCGTGGCAGGCGCAGCGCTTTGCGAACCTCGAAGTGCAGATCGTGACAGGCACAGCGTTTGGTGAACCTCGCAGTGCAGATTTCGTGGCAGGCGCAGCGCTTGGTGAATCTCGATGTGCAGATTTGGCAGGCGCAGCACTTGGTGAACCTCGAGGTGCAGATTTCGTGGCAGGCACAGCGCATGGTGAACCTCTAAGTGCAGATTTCGTGACAGGCGCAGCACTTGGCGAACCTCGAAGTGCAGATTTCGTGACAGGCACAGCGCGTGGTGAACCTCGAAGTGCAGATTTCGTGGCAGGCACAGCGCTTGGTGAACCTCGAAGTGCAGAGTTCGTGGCAGGCGCAGTACTTTGTGCATCCATTTTCACTCACACTCACACTCCCTCACATTCCCACACTCCCTCTCACCCACGCTCACTCACACCCACCTTCACTTCATCACCACCATCACCTCTCTGGACCCAAATGCGTCTAGAGCTCTAGACTTTCTGCTTACAGACCTCACACACACTGTTTGGGGTCTCTTGCCGGGATAAAATTTTCAACTTTTTTTTTGTAGCTATAATTAATAGCTAGTAGCCATTGGGTACTAGACGCTCCTAGGCGCAGGATAGCTTACAATTCTTCAAGGAAACTTTTTCTTTCTTGAAGAAGCGCTTGCACTAATCAGTATTCATTTGATTCCTAGAATTTTTGGAACAAACAGAGATTTGTCATCCGGCAGATGAACAGAGTGCGTTAGCTTTTGCAGCTACACAGCTGATGTATGCTGACTTGTGGCATTCTCATTTTTGCAATCAGAATCTCCTCGGGTGCCTTTGTTGTTCCGCATCCAGTTCCTGTTTGGGTTGACACTTCTTCGTTACTTTTGCTCAACCCAACGCATTTGTCTCTGGCTGGTTGGCTGACTGAGGGTCTCTCCATGAAAAAGGTCAACCTGAATGGGAAGAGCCTGTATGTTGCCTTGGACGTCTTGTATATACTCTTATTGCCTTCGGCTTGTAAGGTCACACAAGCTGTTTTGGATGCCTGGTCGATCCTTCAGGAGTGGATGTTGGAGGCCTCGACAGTTTGGACATTCATGACCAAACATGATGCAGGATGCAGACAAAAGGAAGGCCTACGATGCTGTCTGGCACAAGACAAGGACTGCTGCCTTAGGACCTTTAGCCCAAAGATCACCTTTAGTTTCCGTTTGAGGAATGAAGAACTAGCAGCTGCAGTTGCAGAGGCCAGCACAAAGCGCGAAAGTGCAGCGAAACTCTTCTGAACCTTTTAAGGACAGTCATAGACTCATAGACCTGTCATACTGCTCTCAGCTAAATTCAGCTGCAGGCACGACGACGGGAGGGGAACGAGCTTTACAAGGAAGCGCAGGTGGACATGGACACAGTTTGCCTCGCTCACCAAAGCTCTGGCACTTGCATATTTGTTGAAGACAGGCACTTGCCAAAGCTTCCGGCCCTGACAGTGAAGAGCCTAGCGCTTTCAAAGTGTTGCTTTTGTCACCTTTGCCGCGGCAACAAAGACTTGCTTGCAGCATCTTTCGCTGGCATTTCAGGTCTGTCGGCTGCAACAGCTGCATTGTCGAAGTACCAGGCGCTGCAGTCCAAGGGTTCACCTTTCGTGTCCACAAAGTTTCAGTATTTATGGCACCTTGCATGCGTTGCGTTTGCCAGGCAGCAATCGAGAAATACTCGGAGGGCATAGACCTGGCACCAACGGACTGACACCTTTTCTTGGCAGTTGGCCCACTTTTTGGTATGTTTGGCATGACCGTAAGTGTTTCCAGGATCACCGCATCCGCAGCAACCGAGCTTTGTGCTACAGTGCCTTGAAGGACCGAGACGCTTTTACATTTGTTTGCCCGCTCCTACTAAATTAAGTAGGCGCCTGCTTGATTGAGTAAGCTACTGTACTAGCAGCTAAGAAGCTACTACCTACTGGACGCAGGATAACTCACGCTTCTTCAATGCAAAGAAGCTCCCCTCGCCTGAGGGCGGGGGCGAGCTTCCTTGAAGAAGCGTTCGCACTATTCATTGGGTTCCTAGATTCAAAGTGCCTACTGAAATTCACGGTGATATTCACAGATCACCTTTGAATCTAAGCCTAAACCTTGTTGTTGAATCTTGGGTTGTGCAGTCTACACTCGACGAATCCTCTCCACGTTTAGTTGTGAGTTTATCACTGTGCTGAAAGAAATGCAACATGCATTCTTTTGCTAGCTGCTAGCTCCTTCCAACCAAGTTGCAGTTCTGCTTCAAAGTTCCTGTCGCTAGCTTTGCCCACTGTCCGTATTCTTTAGAAAGTGAATGGATGAGTTTTTGGTTTAAGAAGATGGATGAGCATTGCAGCCTTTGGCTGTGAAAGTGCGGACTGTGCCACCTCACCCTGCTGCCAATACCATTTGGATGCCCACGCATCCTGTGAAAACCAGTCAGCCAGCAAGGCTTCCTTTCCTAGTGAGGAGGTTCAAACTTCTCTTTGGCAAACCAGCACTGTGAGCAGGTGATTTTTTCAGTTTTTCTCGAAGAATTGTTTTGTGTCTTGCCATTTTGGGCTCCGCAATGCACACACACAACCTGACACTTCTCTTCAAGCATTCAGATATCCAAGTAAGAAATTGTTCAATCGAACATCGACAAATATCAAACACACCTAATACCAACCAATCCAAAAATACAAACAGTGCAATCCAGTGCAGGAAACTTCCTCCTAACCTTTCCTGTAAATCTTTTGATACTTTTGGTATTCGTATTTTTGGAGTTGGAGACATTCAACACATACCAAACGTGTATGGCAAGTTTCCCCGGCACCTCACTCCTCACAAGCCATCTTTGTCAGGCAGACATGGGGAGAGTTTCATGGAGCCTGACTTTCGGTGACATGGGCTAGCCAAATTGACTTGACACGTAGTTTCGTTGGCAGCCTCCAACAGGACTGGCAAAAATGCAAGGAGGACACGTTCGCAGATCACCTTTATGTATTGTAGTTGCCAGCAAAAAAATCGTCAAGCCTATTCTTACAATACCAGGATGCTGCAGCTGTTATTGAGATGAGGCCTGACTTCATGAAGGGTGGGGAGCCAAGAAGTTTGTCTTCCAGTTCGGTGCAAGAACAATGTGACAGGGGAATGTTGTCGATTCACAGCAAGGTTGGTTCTTGCTTGTCAAAGCATTTTGGAAGGAAGGCAATCCAGTCACTGTCTGAAGCTTGGATGTTGTTGCACGCATTCTTCATGGACACGATCGATGGTCATGGCTCATTGGCAATGCTGGAGGGCGTGTGTCTTACAATCTCAGGCTCAGCGCCAACTGGAGTTGGGATTGCAGGCTGTGGGTCCATGTAAACGTCTGGTCACTCATGGAAGGAATACTGGTGCCTACCTAAGCCTTTATCCACTTGCAAAGGCCATCCCCGACAGCTCCGAGCTGTCCTTGGCTCAGAGGAAGTTATATAATGTAGATGTTTAATCAAGCTTCCTGCTGCAACTGCTACTGCCTTCTTTATTTTTCTTTTCTATGTATATACTTTCATCAAAGGCCATTGCAACTTTTCTGTCATTGAAGGCATTTGTGTTTTTAATTTTTGTGACCTTTCACGACACCAAGGCTCGCGCTGCAAGAAGAGCTTGCCCCAGAGGTCCAGGCAGAAGTTTATACAATACAGGCATTGATTGACTAAGCCGGCATTGCACCCCTCGTTTTGTGCATCACTCACCCTGAAGGCTGCTTGCAACGGGGACTTACTACCACCGGTGCCCAAAGGTAGAGCTTTGCCTGAAAATAGGAGAGTGGTGAGTGAAAAATAGTTGTAGTCACTAGTTGGAGAGGGGGGAAGCAAAGTAGCAAACAGCTCAGAAGTTTGAGACCAACTCAGGAAGTAGCAGAAACGTGTCGCCTTCATGCACACCCGTGCAAGGCCACCAACAGTTTGCATTGTGAATGTGGTTTGCAAACGGCTTGCAAGCATGTGTTCTTCGAGGCAATTCAAGATCAGGCTCTAGGGTTGCCACACCGCCTCCTGTGCGCGGTGCATCCAAATCGCTTTGGCCTTGGCATTTTTGAGCATTCGTGGCCAACAGCATCGCCGTTGAGGTCGGGTCGCCAAAGATCAACATCGCGTTCTCGATACCCCAGTGCTTGTCTTGTTTCGGAATTCTTGACATGGCACATACGCAAAGAAGTTGACATCTTAAATCCAAGTTGTAGCTGCTGAGAGAAAGTCCAGGTGCAGGTGCCGGTGCCTGGGAAGACACAGCGAGATTTGGAGAAGAAGCAGAAAGGACAGGGCTTTTTGTCTTCTTGGCAATGCAGAGAAGGTTCAGAGCTTCTCCCTTGTGATTGGAAGCAACAGTAAGCCAAAAAACATTTGTATACCTTAGATACCCTTAGATGAACTTGGATGTCTGCAATACTGGAAGCTACGCATGATTTGCTTTACCCTCAGCTTCTGAGCGGAGTTCCTATAATTCTACCATTCACAGGACTGCGCAATTTGGCTCCTACATGGCGGTGCGGACCGGTTTTGTTGACACGGGCCTGGTTTTGTCTACCATTAAAGCACATCTCTCGAACACACCGAAGTTTGTAGAAACAAGGAAAGCAAACGAGAGCAATACATTTCACACACGGTGAAACTGTGAAACCCATCAAGTCCGAGCCATTGCAGGGTCATTGCAGCTCCAGTCCTATGCCGTGAGTCCCTTAGTTTCCTTCCGCTCGTAAGCTGTGATGATTTTGTCATTCATTTGACACTTACTTCTTTGTTAAACGTTGCACTTGGCATGCGTGGCAAGTGTGCCCTACCAAGCGTATTTTTTGTTTGTTATGTTTCCATACATAATACAGTTTTGCATTATGACCCTGAAGACAACCTTCCCTTCACGCGAGAATCTTGCATTTTTGGGTGGGTGGGTGGGTGGGTCGGTGGGTGGTGACTCTTAGCGCTAGCCAACTTTTGGAAGATTAAGATTGAAGTTGTTTGCTCGACACACATTTGGAGCCTTTTCAACAGAATCTCAAAGCACAGTGAGCTAAGACCCGTGAAGGTAGCCTTACATGCTTTCTGCTCTTCCTTGTAACGTTGGCTGTGCCCAAGCATGCCATTCATGAATCTTGGGCATTTCCAGCAAACCTTCGTCTTCAAATCAAAGCAAAGAGCAATGCTCTTTCATTGGATGCTTGCGTTCTGATGTTACTCTATCAGATTGAAGCTTTAAAGGTACACGGTATACATCCTCTGAGAATTCACATAGACATGCAAGGCCTCCATCCCCACCGCCGCCACCGCAGCTCTCTCAGTTTGATGTGTTCCATTAATATGCACATACTGTAATTGTACATATATATATATATATATAAATAAATACATCATCCGACTGATGCCTGTCAGTCATGAAACACGTGCTCATTTGTGTGGAATACAGAGTACGGAATGATTGGTGATGCATGGTTGCTGTTGACATGCACCTGGTTTGGGGCTTGATCAGGCGAGAAGGTGGATCGACACCGCCACCACCACCAATTTCGCAACGTACAAAGGGATCTTCCCTGGCTTCTATGGCTGGGAACCTACGGCCGAATCCAGCCGATCAACTCTGGGGCTAAAGGTTTCTCGTTTCTCATGGTTGGCTGAGAAACGCTTTGTTGGATGCACTGGAATTCCTTAGGCAGCCTCGAGCCGGCTGGGAGTCCATGGCACTTGAGCCTCGAGCACATCCTCTGGCAACGTGTTGGTGCTCCCCATTTTTAATCTCTCCAATCCTTGCAACTCACGTTCTCAAAGAAAGAGTGTCTGGTACATCTGATACGTTCACTGGGCCTTGTGCTTTTTCAACCTTTTCAAGTGCTGACGATTCTAGTGGAGAACTTCGTTATAAAGGTGCGCGTTTTGAAGCAGATTCAGCAATCAGCCGCTTGAGTTGCGGCTAGCTGTGTAAAAAGGATGACCTTCCGTTGTGATTTGCACGGACAAAGTGTTTCACACCTGCCGCAGAAGCGCTCGTGGCCAGAAGCCAATGTTGACAACAGACGGATGGCTTAATAAATTGTGCTGGCACTTGCAATGGCAATGCTACATGAAGCAATATGCTCACATAAATCTGAATGCCTCCAGTACTGATTCTTGTGCTGGACTGGCTGTCCAGGTTCTATGGTTGCTCATGGCACCTCCTCAGAACCTGTCACACCACGAGCGGGACAGCGCAGGGATTCTGTACTAATGCATATGATCAAGACCAACGTATTCAGTGTTGAACGGTGAGTTCATGAGAGACTTGACATGTGACATCCTTGGTTCGTGCCGTTTCACACCTTCAAGGGAGGGCAGTCATGACGGACAGCCGCAGAGCGGTGAAAACATGGAGCGCTGCATAGCAGAGGCCTACTCTTCTTGAGAATCCAGGGACATACACATAGAGCAGTCCAGGCTCCACAACCAAGCGCACAGCTGGAACGGTAGATTCCTCAAGCACTTTTACCTGTTCGCGTGCAGCGCCCACAGCGACTACATGATGGAAGACTTCTACTCATGGCCTTGATGGTGGCGCCGGTGAAGAGGAGGCCTACAAGTAACGACGATGTGGCCGTGGCTGACGAGGAGGAGGTCACCTCAGCCTCGCGACGGAGGCGATGCCACAGTTGTTCCACTTTCTTCGCCCCCTTCGGTGACGAGCTCAACTCGATGAAGACGAGGGCAACGCGGAGGTGAAGAGAAGAAAGAGAAGACAGAAGAGATAATCGGTGGTCAGGTCAGGCCAAACTCCACTGCCGCCACCATTTGGATCGAATAACACGAGAGTTCTTGCCGCCTAATGAGCAGGCTCTCAGGGCACTGGCAGCGCTCAAATTCCAAGATGTCAGCGACGATGACAAAGTCGATGTGGACAGCGGAATCGAAGTGCTCCTCCAAGAGTTGGACAATTGGCGAGAAGGAGCTGGATCGACGACGGGGGGTTATTCGCAAGTACGAAACTCTCACTCGCACACAAGGAGAAAACGTAACCGCCTTTCTGCAACGCTTCCAGCGCATCGAGCGAAACTTTGATTTCAAGTCATGGTTTGACGTTCGCCGGCGTGGCGTGTCCTGGCACAGTTGCTTTGTCTTTGACCGCGCCTCCGGTGGTCATGGCCGAGGACGAGGAGGACAAGGACGCAGTTGACACTTTGGAGCGCCAACTACCTCATGGAGATGATGAGTAACGGGCCGACGCCTGGGATGCTTGGGAAGCTGGTGATGAAAGAGCCTTATGAGGAGCAGCGCTATGATGCTCAAGAGACCGTGGAGGACGGTGGTGACCCCTAGGAGGATGATGGCTTCGTCTATGACTCTGGATTTCTCCCAACGACAAGTCCCAATGAGAGACGACCACAACAGCATGGACCCAGCCAACTACCTGGGAAGCATGTGGCGAGACCCTGGATGCCAACTTCATAGCTGCAGGATCCCGAAGATCCCAAGGGCCGGTCTACCCGACGCTCGTTCAACTTTTCTTGATGCCATGCCCAGAATCTCAACCAGCTTTGCTGAACGTCGCGTGGAGATTGACATCTCTGCCTTGAGACAGAACTGTCAGACCTTGAAATGGGTGCCTAGCGAGGAGTCGGACAACGCGACGAAGCGATCGTCGCAGCTTCGGGATGAAACAACCATCCATCTCGCTGAAGAAGGCCAAGGACGCTCAAGATGGCGGTGGAAATGGAAGCTGGAGGACGCCACAGTCAACAGAAGAATTGACCAGTGTTGAACGGTGAGTTCATGAGAGACTTGACATGTGACATCCTTGGTTCGTGGCCGTTTCACACCTTCAAGGGAGGGCAGTCATGACGGACCGCCGCAGAGCGGTGAAAGCATCGAGCGTTGCATAGCAGAGGTCTACTGCTCTTGAGAATCCAGGGGCATACACATAGAGCAGTCCAGGCTCCACAACCAACATATATGACCAAAACCAAGGTATCCAGCACACTTGGCAAACTTTAGGATTGGACATCTTTCTCTCATCGCAACACGTTGTTCCTTGCCAGGATGCCATAGGCAATACCCCTTTGCATCAAGCAGCTGCTGGAGGAAACTTGGAGTGCGTGGCCAAGGCTTTGCGCTTTGCTATTTGCCTCACACTTGTAGGATATGATCTAGAAGATAGTGTAGGTTGGAGGCCATCGCTATTGTATAGGTAGGGGTTGGCAATTTTCCTCTTGGGTTGGCCAGGGGTGGGGCCCAAAACGGTGTTCATCTGAGCCCCTGTGTTGCATCATGGCCCCGGCCCTGGCCAACCCAAGAGGAGGAGTGGCCATTTAAGTATGGATGATATATATATATATACACGTCCTAAACATTTAAGCCTGCTCAGTTGGGATCCTTTAAGGTGTGCAAAATGCCTTATGGCTCAGGCGCCGAGTATGCAATACTACCACACCTTTTGGAACCATCCTTGACTCTTCTTGAAGGGGTGTGATGTCCTGGCGAAGAATGACAGAGGGCACACTCCATTTGCCTTGTGCACGGATCCGGAGGCATGGCAACTTTCAATGTGACCGCAAAGTTATCGAATAATTGCACATGTGCAGGTTCAGCAGCTTCTACAGAACGCGATGAATGCAACAGCATGCAAGGCCAGGTTCCTTTTGGTCCCCCAGATCCTGGCGTTCTGCCACTTTGGAGTGAGGCGTCCGGAAAGCAGTTCTCCTCAACGGTGCTGAGATACTTGTGCTCATGGCCGGAGTCTTGCAGTTTTTTATTTGCCAACAACAATCTGATTCTGAGGATTCTAGATTGACATACTTCACAACAAATCCCTTCTATGACAGAGTAACTTAGCCGCAGCCTGGCTAAGGTCGCTCGATGTGTTTTGCGAGAAAGAAGTCACTCAGACATTTGTTTGGCGCTCGGCAAATATGATTACATGAAAGGGACTTGATGTTGTAACCTGTGCAGTGATCTCTTTGAACGCTCAGTAGACTTGCTTACCAATGTTTCATACTGCGATCGTCTCAACAATTTCTTGCCAGACAGCCTTGACAGTGCTCGAACGATGTCTCAGGTCTATGAACATCCAGAGGCCAACGAGAAGGACTTGACTCACTCGATGCAGTAATTAGTTTTAGTTGAGTGGACATACAGACTGTCATTTCAAGATTTGAGGAGAAGCCTGTGACATGGTGCAATGAGGCTGCGATCGCACTTTGAAAGAATTTTGTTTTCAAAGCGCTGAATGTTGCAGGTTAGGGCCACCATTCAAGACTTGGAGCACCAGCTGAACCATGCTAGAGTCCTTGAATTGTGTGTGGATCTTCAAGTACAGAAGATCAATCTGACTAAGGCAATGCATCTCAACCAGCTCGACACAGTAACAGCAGCTTTGGAAGCGGCTGCAGCCTGACGCACAGTCACAACGAACGCTGCAGGTATTCAGACTTGTGTGTGTGTGTGTTGAACTGTTGAACCCGAGCGACCCGGACAAGTAGATCAGAGTTCCTTTTCTTTGCTCTTTGCTATGCTTTTTCCCCAGGACAGGCCAGTGGACTGCAAACTTGTTCATCAGTGCAACCAGCTTAAGGAGAAGCTGTTCTTTCTTTGCTAAGAACAGACACAATTGGACAAAGAACCGAAGAGAAAAACTCATGAAGAGCAAGCCAGCATAGGAGAAGCTGGAGTCAGAGATTCAACTTGGAAAGGCGATGCAGGTTACAGCGGTCACCTCAGAATGAAACAGGAGGACTTTTGTTATTCTTCTATGAATTCTCATAGGGATGCACTGTCGGTATATCATCAACGCGCTGTTATCAAAAAGGCATCAGAAGGTTTTGGCAGTGATTGGCAATGCAGATGCTACTTGATTACTTGCCCACCTACAAGCAAAGACATGCGGTGATCAGAATGATTTCCAGCTGCGGGTGCTTTGCAGACCATCACGAACTTGGACGAGTTTGACGGTGTCCATGATGCCTTGAGCAAGGTCAGGACTTTGTTTGTCGGGCTTCGGGTTTTCTCATGTGACCTCTTGCAGGCGATAGATGATGCAGTGGCCAAGAAGGCAGATCCCGGTCGTGCCTATGGCTCAGTCTGTTTCGTTCAAAGAACAACATGACTGAGAGCAATGATATGTTTGATAGGTGAGAATGGAAAGTCATGGGCAAGCTGAGGTCCAAGCCGCCAAAACGCTGCGGCGGAAATTGCTCGCGGAGGCCAACACATTTTGGCTTTACTGGGCAGCTTCTGAATTGACTGTTACTATGCTGGCAATATAATAAAGTAATTGGGACCAGACCTATGGCCAATCTTTCTTTGGGCGGTCATGTACTCCATTGATTCATGTCCGTATAGAAAGCAAGAAGATTCAAGACTTGGCGCTCCCGAAATCTATTCTGCGTTGAGGCCTCGCTAATGCGAACGGTCCTGGGCCAGCAGAAGACCACAGTCGCCCACATCAGCATGCTACAGGACACGGGAGAGTTGCCTCAAAGATGACACATATACAGGTCAGAGAATTTGTGATGCACTAAGCCAACATGACATGAGGAGTTGCTGACAGCAGCCAAAAGTGAGAACGCAAATGAAGATCTCATTCTACAAGCTTCGAAGACCAGAGCTCAGCATGAACTCCATAGCGCATTGACAGGTTGCAGCTGTCCTAAACACAGATTCTCAGATCCTTGCCTTGTCATGCACAATTGCAGCCTTCTTTGGAACTGTGACCTCCACATTGTACTTAACTTATATTCACACCGCTTTGCGGTCGAAGCCGCCCGCACAGAGTAAAGGGAAAACAGACACACGTACAGATATAGACATCCATCCATGCATACAGACATACATACATGCAAACATACATCCAGACATACATGGGAAAATTGTGTGTCATTGGTCCTACCGGCTTGGCAGCAACCTGCGAGGAAATGTTAACCGGGCTCAAGCGTGAAGAAGCGTTTCGCTATGGCCCTACCTAATCACCAGCCTTTTCACAGACGGTTCTGTCTCGGTGCATTTGTCGGTCTGTCAGTCTGTCTGTCTCGGTCGAGCAGGACACACGGACGAACACACGCACGATGTCAACTGTCTCGGTCTGTCTGTCTCTGTCTGTCTCTTTCTGTCTGTCTGTCCATCTGTCTCAGTCGGCTTGTCACGGCACGTCTGTCTCAGTCTGCTTGTCTCGGTCTCTCGGTCTGTCTGTCTCGGTCGGGCAGGACACACGCACGAACGCACCCACAATGTCAATAATGCAGTGTTCCGCGGGGCGCGCGTGCGTGCGCGATGTCGATAGTGCTACAGCCCATGCCCGGCGTATCCAGCATCGCGAGTATGTGGTCGAAAGCCACATCCATTTGTATCAACCTTCAAAGAGTAGTGTAAAGCACAGCACTTCCCGAGCTGATATCCGCCCCCTCAAGCTAAAGCTTAGCGGCTTGTGCGAGCCTCCACAACGCCTCGGCACCTTCGGTGCGGGCGGACTTATGAAAGGTCAGGAGCAACAAGAAAAGCAAACTTTTTGTTTCCTTGTGAGCTATAAGCTGTGACCTTAGCTCTCAAGTGTGCCACGTCCCGATTTCCCACATTTTTGTCAGGCTGATCGCACGACTTAGCAGCGAGAGCGAGGTGCAGAAGCGAATCACAGCAACAGTGACGTGGCTGCAATGTCGCAATGTAGGGTAGGGACAAGTCATTTTGCGCAGCCAAGATTGACATGTCGATCATTGGGAACATGTTGCTTTATTTCTTTTGCATGTTGTACGCCCTGGCAGGCAGTCCTGTGTGAGGTGGACTCTTTCAAGGAAGCAGAAGGGCGGGTCAGACTCTTGGAGTGCTGTCCAGATTAGTACAGTGTTTCAGTTGTGGGATCTGCGTGGCCAGTGTTTCAGCAAGGAAGAAATGCCAGATTGGTCTCAAGATACAGAAAAATTTGAAGACTTCCACGAGGCTTGGTTTCTGTGTAACGGAGAATCTGAGCCGTGTCGAGCAACCCTCAGGGCTTCAAGAAAGTCATGGAAGATGCAGAGAGGGATCAGGCACACTTTGAAGCACCCACACAGCTTTCGTATCAATGAAACTCGCCTCTTTTTAATTGTGGCAGATCTCTGAAGTCCTGATGTCAACAGCACTCGAGCAGTCTGGGCCATAGCAAGTTGGAATCAGTCAGTGCTTAAGTTTGCTTGCACATGGAGATTTGTGTGAGCACACCGGCATGTGGCATCAAACAGTTTGCCAGGATGAAAACAAATGAAATCACATCATGTCAACTCATTACATGACCTACGGTTGGATCTGGATTTGATCATGTTTGCTATGGAGCTCACAATCACCATGTCCACCCCTGATTCCGTGGATGAAACTTCCAACGTGACGCAACCATGCTGGTCAGTTCAAAAGCAGAGCAACAATTTTCTCAGTCCCACTACAGTATGTCAATTCCATCATGATTTCAGAAGGCCTGCTTTTGCCAGGCTCGATAAAATCGAGCGGCTTCTGGTGGAAAAGAAGCAGACGGAAGCTGAAATGGGGCTGAAGGTTCCAATACTAGAAGCAGGCGGATTGTTTTGTGCACTTGAGGGATTTCTTGCTTGCAGGCAGCGAAGGCTGCCAAGAAGAAGGGCAAGAAGTGAGCAGTGACTGACTGCGGACTATAAGTTGTGCTTGGATGTGTCACCCCTACCGCTACCTATCACTGAGTGAAGGGACGAATGCTGGTGCATGATTCGGGAGAAACAGGTGTGAACATTGCCCATCATGAAATGAGGCAAACATTGATGATAAAATGGTCTTGAACCATGATTTGGAAGACGGGCATTTGACTGGCTTTGACTATCAAGTTTCAAGTTAAGTTTCCGTAAAATCTAGGAACCAACTGATTAGTGATTAGTGCGAGCGCTTATTCCTTGAAGAAGCGTGAGCTATCCTATGTAATTGTAATTAAGTAGGCGCCTACTTAATTAAGTAGGGAGGGGGGGAGCGAGCTAAAGAGAACATTGACCAATGTGTTGAATTTGGCTCAATTGTCAGTCCTGACAGTCAACAGGGCTTGGGCTTGAGACCAGCTGCTGCAGGCGCTGATTTGAGAAAAGAGCAAATCTATGCCTATTGACAACTTGTCAAAGGTCTCATATCTGAAAATGAAGAGGCTCTTTGTGGCTGTGGCCTGCCCAGAAATGCTAGTACTTCCAATGCTCGAGCCCCCTACTTGTTGCGCCAAAGGTTGCGACGCTTTGGTCGACGACTAATGGAATCCACCAGGTGCCTCGGCTCAGCTCTTGGAGTTGTCTGCCGTGGATACAAGTTGTGAAGAGAGACGCAAAGTTCAGAGACCAGAAGGTGGTACTATGGAGTGGTCTACACAGGATTGAAAGGGTTAAAACCCAGGAGCCTCAGGAGGCTTGACAACGTAAAGTCAAAGGCCGCCTTGGGCCTCTGTGAGGAACAAGACTGAAACAATGAAAGTTAGCTATGAAGAGAGCCAAAAACCTGGCTGATGAAAATGTTGCAGCTTGTAACGAAGGAGTCTTTGCTCTTTTTTGCTGCTCACAAGGTTGTAAATAAGTATATCTTTCTATCTCTCTTTGTATCTATCTATTTGTCGGTCTATCTATATATCATATTATATCTATCTATCTATCTATCTATGTACAATTGCAAATTTGCTGGGGGTGAGTGAGGGAGGAGTCTTACCTCCTTCTGCATATGTTGCATGAAACGTAGCTTGAAGATGCTTTAAGAATGCTATATACCTTGAATTTTTCTTGTGAAGAACAGGAAGGAAGCTCACAAGAGCTCTCCTCTTCTATCTTGGCGGTTTCGTGTCTGATGTTTAAGATTCAGGTTTAAATGGTTTTAGCTCACTTCGGTTGACAGGCGAGAAAGAATCGCCAATCCGTACGAGCAGGCCACACAGCCGACTGAGTCCCACAGATAAGCTAGACCAAGAGGGCCAAGTAGGACGCTACTAGGAACAAGGACGCTACTAGGGGCTCCTGGCATCACTACTAGGAGCAAAGACGCTACTAGGGGCTCCTGGCCATACTACTAGGAACAAGAAGCTACTAGAAACAAGAATTAGACTTAGAATTTAAAAGCTTGCAAAGGATGGACAGACACATTCTCACAGGATGATGACAGACGAAGGATTCGCGGTTCTTGATTCAGTCGTCCCAGCCCAGAATTCGCGGCAATTTGTGGCGTTATGGCAAGGTCACTCAGGCTTACAGTTCTAACGCAGAGTTGTCATTGTCCGCTCTTTTTTGTCCTTTCTTGTCGGAGGTGGTTTGGATATCGATGAGGAGCTTCGTGAGGCCAATCGAGACAATCTGAGACGTTCTTTTCACTTTAAAGGCATACATATACAGATACACCCATTTTTTTTGTGGGGGGGTAGGCTGTGAAGAAGTTAACAAGTAAGTACCTAGCTAGCAAGTAGTAGCAAAAGGAAGATTGATTTGTTTCCTATATTTACATTTTGTCGTTTGTTCCTTGTGAGCATGCAAAGGTTCGTTATAGTTTCCCATTCTTTTTGAAGACCTTTGTTGCCGACTTAAATTAAGTAGCAGGGGGAACTTATATAAGTCTCCCTAAAAATCTAGGAACCAAATGAATAGTGCGAGCGTGAGCTATTCTGCGTCCATGCTAGTAGCGTACTAGTGTACTAGTAAGGTACTAGCTACCTCTCCCTTACTTAATTAAGTAGGCGCCCACTTAATTGAGTAGGGAGGGGGGGAGAGCCAGCGGGCTAAACAAAAGCAACCTGACTGGGTAGCTTTTTGGTCTTCAGGTCGCACAGAAGGCTGAAGAGACTGTTCAAGCAGTAGAAGCCGAAGCGGAGAAACCGACCGGGACAATCAGGAGGACTTCTTCGGGTACAGTACTGCTGCACTGTGAAATGAAAACGCTTGTTTGTGCAAAAAGTGGAAGCCCATGCGAATGACACGTCAATGTTTTATATTGGTAAGCGCAGTGTTTTGCGACTCTACCTCTCCCGTTTCTGTGAGTCGCTTGAAAGTGTTGGGCTAGCGGCTGACGCAACACACTGTCAGGTTTCACTGTCAGGTTTCTTCACTGAGAGATTTTTGCAACTTTTCTTGGTGCATCCGCAATGCTCTCAACACTCACTCGCGGCCATTATAGTGGGAGGTAATCCTCCCATTGACTTGAACTACATCAGTACCCAATTTAGATCACCCGAATCCTTGTGGTGACGACGCATCAAGCCCATGACAATGTGAACGATGACAATCTTGTGAAACTGATGACAACCTTGTGAAAACGAGGACAACCTGAAAATTCAACACGCGAACATGATGAGATCGACGGAATAGTGCCCGTGACAGCAAACATGCTTGAATAACAACTTGATAATATGATTCCAACCAGGTGTAAACAAACACATGAAACGCACCCCAGCGGCAACCCCTATTTTCCCACGCAAGACCTCGAAGACGGCACCCATTTGTCAAATGTGGAGGGTCATATGTGATCTGGCACCAATTGGAGACACAGAAGAAATTGAAGGGAGCTGTCAAGGGGGCTGTTCTCCACAAAATCCTGCACTTTGACTGCAGGAGAGGGCCGTTTTGGGCAACCTTTTCTGGGCTTTTGAGGGAGAAGGCCGTGGGCAACGTTTTCCAGACCATTAGATTCCCTTTGACTCCTTCACGGCAGGCATCGATGCCCTACAGCCAATTCGAAAACAAATGTGTGGAACACCTTCAGGAGGCGTCTTGGTTGGACTTGTACTCATTTTGTACTTCCCTGTTTGCGTCAATCACCTGTGTGACTTCAACTCTTTACCAGGTGAGCACCTCCTTGGCTGATGCATATGGTGAAGCTCAGGCCCATGACATGACATGGAGACAGATCAATAAACTATAAATAATGACTTTGAACGCACTTCAGGTCAAACATCTCCTCAGAAGTGAATGTCGCAAGGCACCAAGACACTCGAAAAGAAACACATTGAGTTCAGTGTCAAATAAACATAGATGAACACATCATTTTTAAAATTACTCTCTGGAGACATTGAACGCCTGAGACAACTTGCACAAGTGGTGATGCTCCCAACTGCTGAGGTCTTGAGGGCGAGTTTCCCCAAAGCGTCAACTCTGGCTTTAACGAAGTCGAGGACATTAGCAGCGCAAGGTTCAAGTTCGGATCATACAGAGGTACTGTTTGGCATGCTTTTGCTTGGTGTGTCGTTTTGTTTGTCACCTCACTTGTTGTTGCTTACGCTCATGTGTATTTTTCCATTCTTGAGGAATGCATGAAATTTGCAGACAAGCTTGCTGCTGTGCAGAAGGCCTCCAGAATGTAAAATTAGCCAAAGGCTTTTTGGTGAGCTTTTGGAGTAATTGTGTGGCAGGACCAAGGGTTTAGTGCACTCTGCAAGCAGTTCTATCAGCAGGCAGTGCAGGAATTGCGTTGTGAACGCTTGAATGACTGACATGCATTGGGCGGCCACATGCAATGCCAGTGTTTGACTTTTACAATTTCTCGCAAACAGGTGAGAGACCGCTCATCAAACAACTGTTTCGGTTTCTTTCGAGTCATGCCTGATCAGCCTGATCTTCGTCGATGCAGGCAGCCATGTCATCTCAGCAGAGAGTCTCCCAAAGCGATTCCAAAGCGGGCACAGCTGGTGACACCCACCAAGCGAATGAGACATTGTGGTGGTCTAATCTGTGGAATCTTTGGCGTGGCTTCGCTGACAAGATGTACCGTGCACCAGATGTGGGTGCGCAAGTTGGAGTTAGCCGCCAAGATTCGAAGCGATTTGGCCAACACAGTGATGCAGGTGGAAGTGCAGTCAGTGGCAGCAGGGATGCGGAAACCACAGAGGATAGCCTGACAAATCCGAGAAGCGAAACAAGCAGCGCAAAGTCCGTTGCGGAAAGCACAGACGATGCAGCAAATGCAGCTTACGAGGAGTCACTGCAGGCAGGCAAGAACCCAGATGAAGCTGCAGAAGCGGCTGCTGCTGCTGCAGGTAAGGCTGCAGCACGGGCGGCAAAAGCCGAAGGCAAAAGCCCTGAGGAAATTGAAAGAGTGGCAGCTGAAGCAGCACGGAAAGCTGCTTTGGCAAACGGACTAAGTGACGAGGAGGCAGCCGCAGCAGGCGCAAGTGCTCAGCGCACAGCAGGCAGTGCAGCGAGCTTGAAAACTTCGTCTAGTGGCTCTAGAGGCTCCGCCTCGATCGATTCTCACGGATCCACTACATCCTCTGATTCAAAGGGCTCAGGCGCATTGGGAAGGGCAGGTGCAGAATCTCCTGATCGCACTGGCCACTCTGGACTGACAAGCTGGTTCAATTGGCTGTGGAGCTGGGCGTGGCCGGTCCGGTCAGATCAGATGGACAAATCCTACTCGGGAGCACCTGCAAAGTCCACCAGCACTTCCCGAAAAGAGGATTCTTTGGGCCTTCAAGAAGCAGACCTGGACCGCTTGGATGCAATTCTGGATGGAGCAAGGCAGAGCAACATCACGATGAAATATGCGTATATATATATATAGATAAACTATGCACACATATTGATGACAATGAACAGTTGAACGCACATACTTATTGTAATTGTTTCCTATATTTTTCTTTTTAATTACAATACTTTGGAGTTTGTGTACGTTTGCAGGGATGGCGGGAACATCAGTGGGAGTGCAGCCGAAGAACAATACATTTCGGCCTTGGCCTTTACTCACATAAAAGTATATAACTTGCCTCGGGATTGAACCTGTTTGTTGGTACCCGCCTCCCAGCCAATGCTCTGATTGCAGTTTCAGCTTTTTGTGATGGATATTTTTCTGGTCCCAGGTTTGCACGAAGCATTTGAAGAAGGCCAACATTTGCATTGGCTATATATTTATGTCTTTATTGCAATAAGTTTGAATCAACGGTTTGACAAAGTTGAGTCTGACTTTGACGGTGCTCTGTGATTTTGATTACGCGTGATCAGGTAGGGCGCACCATTGATTCTTCATACTCTGACATTGAGGCGCTGGTTCCAAATGGCACTAGAGCAGTCAAACAGCTTGTCCATCCTGGAGGCAGAACAGGTGCTGAAATCCCAGTGCATGCTTGATAAGGAGCGCACTGTAGAATGCTGGAAACAATGCATCCAGACAAGCACTACGCATGTATCTCTGTTGTTTGAAGGAGTTTGCATCGTCAAGACAAGAATCCTTCATGAAGGAGAAGGTAGCTTCACAGAATAAGCACATGTGACCGTGTCTTTGTGCGTGTCAATTGTAGGAGTGTAATTTGTTTGCCAAGCTCTTCCTGAAAGCACGCTATCAGGACTTGTCACGTGTCCATTTGTTTGCCGCTTCTTGCAATTTAGTAGTGACAGAACAAGACAAGTTGTACCTTCAAACTTCTTTGCAGCTACTGCAGCTCTGGAACTTGTGCGTTTTACCTGGCAATCTCTTGCAGGGCTGGTGGGCGAAGTTCAGGGGGATGTTGGAGTGCTGTGGTGATTTGTGATGAGGTGGAGTGCAATGATGTGTGGTGATTTGAGACTTGTGGTGATGTGCAAAAGATGGGACGTGGAATGTGGTGACATGGTGACTTGTAGTGCGGTGATTTGGTATGCAGTGACTGGCGATGTCGTGAAGTGTATTGTGGTGAAGGATAATGTGACGATACTTTTCCTGGAAAGCTCTTCTTTTCTGCATTTTTCCCTGGGTGTCTCTACGTTTCCAGACATCTGTACTTCAAATCCCTCGATACATTTTGTCTACCTTCCTCACCTTTCCCATGCTTTGCTACTGAAGACGTTGGCTTTTCTGCTTGTGTCTAGGAAAGTCCACCTGACATACAGCTGTACAATGTGTTCTCTCATTAGTGTAAATCTCTTGAGGCTAGGGGCAACCCACTTAATATACTGTATATATATATAAGGTATCGAATGCTTGATTAATATATATATATATATAAGGTATCGAATGCTTGATAGATCCTTCGCTTGCGCTGGTATGTAATCTTCAAGGACTTGGTGGGCAGTGCCGCCTCCTACAAGAAACTTTGCAGCTTGGCTCGATTCTGTTCAGCTTTGCTAGGTATTTGGAGGTCTAGGAGCGACTCTTGTGTTTACTTGTAAGTTAAGGCAAGTGGTACTTCACCTACATACAAAGACCAGGCCTGTGTCTCAGAGTCGAAGCAGAGACTACAGTAAGTTCGAAAAAGGAAAGGAAAAAAGACAAGAAAGACAAGAAAGGCAAGAACATAACCGGAAGGAAGGAAGGAAGAAAGAAAATAAAAGACACGAAAAGAAAAGAAAAGAAACGAAAAGAAAGGAAAGACAATAGAGAAATAGATAAAAGAACGAAAGAAAGCGTGTGTGAGGTCTAGAGGTGTAGTAGTAGAAAGTCTAGAGATCTAGTGAGAGTGAGTGTGAGTGAGAGAGTGAGAGGGAGAGAGAAAGTGTGAGACTGAGTGTGAGAGTGAGTGTGAGAGTGAGTGAGAGTGTGAGTGTGAGTGAGAGTGAGTGTGTGTGGGTGTGGTGAGTGAGTGAGTGGGTGAGAATGAGTGTGGGCGTTGTGGGTGTGAGTGAGTGAGTGAGTGAGTGAGTGAGAGAGTGAGAGAGTGAGTGAGTGAGTGAGTGAGTGAGTGAGAGAGTGAGTGAGTGAGTGAGTGAGTGAGAGAGTGAGAGAGTGAGAGAGTGAGAGAGTGAGTGAGAGAGTGAGTGAGTGAGTGAGAGAGTGAGAGAGTGAGTGAGAGTGAGCATTTGAGGGCACAAAGTGCCGCGCCTGCCGCGAAATCTGCAATTCGAGGTTCACAAAGTGCTGTGCCTGCCACGAAATCTGCACTTCAAGGTTCACAAAGTGCCGCGCCTGCCGCGAAATCTGCAATTCGAGGTTCGCAAAGTCTGCATCTGCTACGAAATCTGCACTTGGAGGTTCACAAAGTGCTGCGCCTGCCACGAAATCTGCACTTGGAGGTTCACAACGTGCTGCATCTGCTACGAAATCTGCACTTGGAGGTTCACAAAGTGCTGTGCCTGCCACGAAATCTGCACTTCGAGGTTCACAAAGTGCTGCGCCTGCCACGAAATTTGCACTTCAAGATACACATGCGGCAGCTCTGACAAGGCGTTTTGCCGCAAGAGCGCTTCCAAAGACAACATCAAGATACCAAAACGCAGCTATCGCGCGAGACGTCCCCCGACTTCTGAAAACAACCCACATGTAGAAAAGTCACCACTCAATACTGCACCTGTCACGAAAGCCTACCACGAAATCTGCATTTCGAAGTATAAAGCCACTCCGACCCCTTGCGCCTGTCACAAAAAGTCGACTTTGGGCCACCAAAGCACGTTTCCCTTCCGCCTGCCACGAAAAGTGACCACCATGTCCGAAAATGCGCGCGGCGCCACAACGAGAGCGCAGTCGCGACAAGCACCCGCCGCGGCCGACCAGATTCTGCGAGCCTGCGCAGTCGAAATGCACTTCGAGGACTTTGAGACATGAATGTATTGTGAATAGCAGCAAATTAGCCGGACGGCCCGGTGCAACACCTCGATGGGACCGAGTTGCTACTCCCAATGTCTCTCTCTCACCGCAGTCCACTTGCAGCTCACTGAATCACTTGCGGGCAAGCCTTTTCCGGGTGTGAGAGCATGGAAGAGCTCTGCTTCCCAGCAACTTTAGCCCAATTGGGCGAGTGTGCCTTTGAACGCTGTCACAGCCTACAAAAACTTGACTTCGTCCGTCCCTGCTCACCAAAGTATCAGAATGGACCCCACCACATTTGCCCATTAGACACCGGTGCTTAACAACTACCGTGAGAACCCCTAGTGTCCACACTGCTTGGGGAAAAACGGAAAGACAGAAAAACATACATAGCAGAAAGGGACAGACAAATATATGAAAGAAGGAACAAAAGGACACACACACAAAATAAAGAAAACACAGGTGTCAAAGAAAAAAAATTTAAAAAAAGGGGCAGAAGGCATGAACACAGAAAGGATAATAACATGTTGATCGAAAGTCAGCTTGTGAAAACGTCGAATACTGTCAGCAAGGTACTTAGCGCTGGCGTCTCCAGAGACGGCGAGAGGCATAGCTGGTACTAGTAGCTACAGGTTCGATTTTGTGGAGACTGAGTCGGTTGCTCTAATTACCCTAGCGAATCAAAGCATGTCTTTTTGCCTCCAGAAAGTTGGAATTGCGAGTGGTGAATACGCTGAATACTTACCATGCCCATTTGCATACCTGGTGCAGTGCAGGTTGCTTTGCTGCAGAGCGAGATGCGGACCAGGCAAGCCAGCATTGTCTTGAAGGTTACAGGCAAGCGAGACCCTTGAACATCTTGTTGCAGTTACCCTCCCTCCAACAATCATGGAAGTGGAAATGGTCCTTGAAAACAATTTTCTTCTGCAACTTTGGGGTTGTCCACATCCATGTTTGTTGGAGGGTACTTCACCGAGGCATTGCAATGATGCAGCCAAAGACAAGGTAGCCATGGTTTCACAGCGACCACAGCAGCTACAAAGTAGCGCTTGGCAGCTGTTGAGAAAGACCGAAGCAACAGACAGCATTCCAGATTCAGTGGAACTGGTTCTCTCAGCTTCAATTTCTGGGCCATCAAACAGTACGTCCCGAAAAAATTCCGGTCGGCTAAACATTCCGCAGCTATGTGCATTGGTGGATCCAGAATCATTGCAGAGGGCGATATTGTAGATGGCGATCAACGCTTTTCATGCTCTGCTGGGGACATGGAACCATACAGAGGACATTGACAATGATCTCACACACTTCGAACTTGGATTTTCAGTTAACGCAAGTGTCTCAATGGGAAAAAGGCGATGAAACGGCAAGGTGGCAAGGTCCGAAAACTTGTAGGTGTTTCAAAAAAGTTGTTCCAGTCTGCAGAAAAGAACGGCGCGCTACGAGTCGGCTGCAAAGCTAAGCTGCAAAAAGCTCCGTGAGGTTTGGGGGAGGAAACGTGAACAACCATGGAAGCAAACAAGAGAGATTGGAACAGCGTGGGCAAAAGTTCAAACTAGCAGGTACACAATGCGGCGTCCCGCATTGCTTCACGACCGATCCATCACTGTCTTCGTTGGGCAGTGAGTGATGGTGGTCCACTGCCCCCCTGCCTGTGTGAAAGTGGTGGGGTAAGACCCTTTGTCCAGGGTGGGACACACACAGACACACACACACATGTTTTTCTCAACAGACCTCCACACATGACAGTTGTCAGTCTAACTTGGTTTATATATATATATATTTTATATATATATATACTATATACACATTGTAAATTCATAGGATTCCAAAGTGCCACTTGTGTCGGCCAAAGTTTCCGTGATGAGCTGGAGACCCAGTCCCGCCATTTCGAAGGTCACGCCTTGGATCCAGTGTGCTCTTAGTAGCGTCCTTGCTCCTACCATTTGTCGCTCAGTTTGGCTTCCGGATCCTGCCAAGCGTGTTGGGCACTTGGTTGTGGATTGCTGTGGTGAACCAAGGTTGTTGACAGTGCAAGGGCTGTTGAACGCCGTCATAGATCTTCTTTCCCAGGTTAATCTCTTTCCATCGTCTTTGATCAGGCTGCGCAGAAGATCTGGAGCAAAGTTTGCTGTAGCTGTAGCTTCAACCTCAAATTAGTGGCAGATGAGTATCCTAGTAACCCCGACAAAGAAGTGTCGAAAGTTTGGAAAACCGGATGTTCCCTAGCCAACGAGCAAAAAACTGAACCAAAGCAAGTCCTTGGCCCCGATTATTTCCTGGGCAATCGAACGAAAACCTCGATGAATCAATACGGAAAATCTTTGGGAGCAGGTCCTTATGCTGCCGGCCCGGGAGGCAGTGACAAAGAATCTTTCATCCTGTTGAATCATACCGCCTCGAAGCACCCAAAAAGGCTGTTTATGGGAATCGTGTGCGTGAGTGAGTCACGTTGGGCAAGCGGAGCAGTCTTGAGGCTACGCTTGCATTGAACCCTACCGTGCGCGGCTGTGCTGGGCAAACTGCGGAGCCGACAAAAGCCTTTGTAGGTTACTTTTCCGAGTGTGTGTACTGCCAGTGGCAGTTGTCTCGTCGGTCAACAAGCATGCGCGCAGCCTCAGCCCACATCCAGGTCCCGATGTCCGCAAGACTGGTGTGAAACTAACATGTCCCACAAAAGTGTCGCAGAAGTGTGCCGCGTCAAGCAAATGTAATGTGTCCAACAAGAGCATTAAGCAAAAATAGGCGTCTTGAGGTGCCCCATGGTACAGGCTCTTGGAAGAGTGCCAAAGAGCGCCACAAGAGTGACAGACCACAGTGTCCTTCAAGAAAGCAACTGAAAAGTGTCGCGCAAGGGTGGGACAGTCTCACAAAAGAGTGCCGCGCCAGTGTGTCCTACAAGGGTGCTTTACAAGAGTGTGAAGCAAGAGCGTCCCACAGGGTGTTCTACAATGTTCTACAAGAGTGTTGCGCCCCCGAAGGATGTAAAGAAAGAAAGACTGTAAAAAATCTCCATGCAACAATGTCGCACAGGAGTGTCAAACAATGGTCCCTGTCACGCAGTTTTTGCATTCGGGTTCGTTGTTGTTTTGTTTTCGGGTTCACGTCGCCCACGGGACGAAACTTTTCTGATTGAAGGACCCTTTTTTGCTGCACTGTCCTTCTTCAAGCCAAAGGACCTGGACACTTCGGGTTGCAGATCATATTTCCATGTTGCTGAAAGAATCACATGTACTATGGTTCCCTCAAAAACACACACACACACATTCTTTCATGTGTAGTAACGAGGTGGTGACGTGCAGGACCCAACTCCCTTCGTCCCTTCGTGGAATTTTCGAGTCTGGAACGCCGAAGGAGAGCAGCCTTTGGCTCAGCTGTGGGCTGGTCGTGCGCCCACAGCCCAGGATCGGGCAAAAACGTAACGAACTTGTTGATCCATAGCCATAGCATCCATAACGGTGATAGTGCAGGAGCTGGGGCGACGGACAGCTCATGAACTGAAGGTGTGTGTGAATACGACCTTGTCGCATTCAGTTGAACATCGACAATGTGTGCCTTTGGGAGGACACTGTAGCTCCACGCAGACTCACTAAGCAGAATTAAGAAATTTATGCAAGTGAAACAGCATCAAATGCATTTCATCGTGCCGCAGGCACTCTTGCAGAGCAAAGGTCTTCACTGCGACGAGTGCGACAAGGAGGGGCTGTTTGTCGCACCGATTTCAATTTCTTAGTAGTGAGATGTTCGTCGCACTCTCCATGTTTCTTTAGATTAGCCAGGCGCAGCTCGTCCAGCGTGTATTGGATACTTGGGACGACGAGGTTTTTGAGGCGAATCTGTCTTCCGTGACAGCGCTGCCTTGGAATTGGGGCGAATTCAGGCCTCCTCGCCAGATGGAAAAATACGTTTGACAAAGGCAAGCGGGTCACCGAAGGGTGTATTGACTCTTTGCGAAGGTGGCGGTGACCTGATATCAATTTTATTTTGGGGGTCTGCATTGCATTGGCACATGCCAGTGCTTTTCTAATTTGAGCCCTTTTCGCTTTTGCTTGTAGACTTTTTGCCGGAGACTGAATTCCAGCAGTCGCCTGAACCGCTCAGAGGCAAACAATGACACTCGCCCTAGCGTTTCCCATTTGGCTAGAGAGGGTATGCCGGGTATGCTCTTGATATGCCAAGCTGGACCAAGTCATTGTCCTTTAAAGGGAGGGAAGGGTGACCACGCAGACGGAAAGTGAATCTCCAGCATATGTCAGATTTAGTCCTGTTCGACGCTTCTATTCTATGGACCATTCACAGGACGTTTTCATGAAAGATTTGAAGATGACCTACAAGAAGCTAGACCCTCAGGAGAAGTGGATTGAATCGAGAGCTGACAGTTTGATATGTGACTGGCCAAGGCACATGAAACGAAGACCCGAAGATGGTGGACACGAGTTTCAATCTGAGCTTGACCCAAACATTGCCCCTCAAACCATTCTCAAAGGGAGCAGAGCTGAATGACTTGTATACGATTCGGAGGCTGGCTGACGAGGAGGACGCTGACAGCCGTTATCTTATTGCACTTGCAGAAAGGAGACTTCGCTCAATGAGTCACCGGCAGCTTGATGGGATGCGTTGCAAAAGTTTGGCCATGCTTGAGGTGCAGACACCATTGACAGCACCTTTCCCGATTTCAGCAAGGAACTTGCTTTGTTTGATCGCCTGTTGAACTGCTACCTTTTGTTCTGGAATGCCTGTATACACACAGCATGCATGACAAGTAAATGTAATTCCCTGCGCGAATCCCCTCGTTCATTGATGCTGTGTGAACCAAACGCTGTTCCGTGAAGGGGCCTACAAGTAGCTTCATGGTTTTGTTTTTGCAACGGCTTGTCAACAGAGTGGCCAAAAACGTGTGCCAAGTTTGCCATTGGATTCTGAAGACAAATTTGCCGATTTCCTGATGACAAAATGCAACTTGTCCCAGCAAGAGAGCCCAAACAGTGTTGAAGAGAAACAAGGTGAATAAGCGAACTTCCTTTGCTCTAGAGCACATACACATTAGAGCAGACATATGAGAGCGAACAACATGAACGCACGCATGAAAGCACACATAAGTCACACAAGCAATAAGTGAGCACGCGGAACAGAGAACACATGTCAGGACGCACAGATGAGAGCGCAGAAAAGAAGGCGTGCACACATGTGAGCAAACACGTGAGAGCACACGTATTCCAGCGCACACACACATACATACATGACAGCACAGCTTTGAGAATACACATACAATTTGAGACAATGAGAGCACACAACCATGAGAGCACACAAATGTGAGCTAGCACATGAAAGCGATTTGAGTCGATAGGGTGGAAGACAGTAGACTTTTGGAGTTGGGAGAATTGGAGTGTGGATTGTGGGAATTATTGTGGAGCATGTTGGGTGAAGGGCTTAGGTTTGCTGAGCATTTTAGACATGAGCGTTTTCAGGTGGTTTTTGCTTTTTCGATGTGAGTAGAGAATGTGTGCTGCACCTGGGCTCAACATGAGAAAGAATTTGTTCCTCACAACGAAAACAAAGATATTCCAGCAGGAGGCTGAAACGTGAAGATTGTTGTTAGTTTCTCGACGTCCTTTTCAAAGTGAGGAAGAACACAAAAGCGGAAGAAAGCAAAGCAGAACAAACACGGGGAAGTGTACCCAAGCCAAAGGGAGCATCCATCAATGGCTCTGTATAAATTCACAGATCCCTGGCAGACACTGTAAATGGTGTGCGAGTTTAAAGTTTTAGACACATTCCTGATCAAGTGTGCTGCGTTGTGCCCTTGCGCCCTTGCAGCCCAGACCGTTCTTGCCTAGAACGGTTTTGTTCAGGTCTGGGCACTTGTGCTGCATCAACTTTTTGTCATTCTTAAACAATCTGCCGTGTGAACCCCTACACCATGGTTCTCAGCTCCCATCCTTCTTCCCAGCAGCCTACATGGATTCATTAATTGAGTGCATTCTTGATTCAAGCAAGTACAGCACAGTTTTCAGTGAACGTGTAGGTTAAACGGTTAAACACACATCGAGCGGACAACATTGTTTGAGTAATAATCACACGTTTGAAATGTCAGCTGCCATCACATACTCTCTGCGCAGGAGTGGCGGGAATTTAGCGTGAAGCTTGCAAAAGGAGACGTGCAAACTGCAGGTTTCTTAGCATGTTGGTCCATTTATTGTCACCTTCAAAGTTTTTAGATGTTTGGAGACTGCATGCTGATGCTCAGGAGAGCGACGGCCAGATTGTGTATGAGGTGAGGTTTGCTCTATATTGCTCTGGTTCCAGCATGTCTAGCCACAGCTTGGAATCGGAGGCCAAGAATTTGCCAAGAGTTTTCAGCGTTTGAAGTGCAGCGATACCTCAGAAATTTGGTGCTGCTACTGGTAGTTGGAGCACGTGCCATAGATGGCCGATGTGTTTTCTTTTTAACTTTTCTTTTAAACGTCGTTTTCGCTTCGTACACAAACATGTGCTTCACCATGACATCACTGAATCACAGACACACAGACACGCACACACACACATACACACACACACACGTGGGGTGGGGGGGGGGGGGGTAATGACATTATGGTGATGACGTAATTGCGTTATGGGTTATGGTGACGTGATGATTGTGGGTTTCTGGACAGTGTCAGTGAGGTTTAACAGGTTGGTTTTGGGGGTTGAGCCTCGATGAGAATCGTACTGCATTTTTTTGGTTCGTGATATAGACGGAGTTGTGTTTGAAAAGTTTGGTTTCCCTTTGTTTCGCAGATGTGGCGTCAGCAGATGTTCGGCAATTTCCGACTGAATTTTTGAATGGACGACTCCTGAAGACGTGAAACATCAGTGAGGTGTCGTCAGTTTCTGGGGGTTGTGAAGTGCTAGTGTTGAACCGTAACTCTAAGGTGTTTTGGAAACTTTTTTTCATCTCCCCAGTCAGGAGCTGTATTCAAACATTACACTTCAGACCTTCCAATTAAATCATGTACAAGAACACAAAAGCACACGGCCATCTGTGGCAGTATACCTACAGTAGTTTCTTTTGGGGAGATTCACAGGATGATTGCGCGGCATCATGCTCGTCCAGCAATAAGCTTACCACGGGAGCCAAGAAATACACGGTCCTGAAGTTTTGTGAATATTTTCCTTGTGTCATGCGCCCGATCTTTTCTTCCACTTCTAGTTGCTCTTGGCCACACACCCTTTTACAGGTGTATTCACACATTCACATAATTGCATGCACCAAAAACGCATGCCGTTTTCAAGCTTTGATTTTAATGACAGCTTGGTAGTTTGGTGAGTGGATCCTCTTCACCTTTTGTTTATTCCTGGATCAGCGTGCAAACAAGCCTTGTGGTTGAGATGCAGGTTGGTGGGCCGACACCAGCCCCAACTTTTTGGGATAGGCAGAGAAGTCTCGCAGTTGCAGAGTTGTTTCAGTCTAGCATGATTATATATATCGTTTTTGCAAACAGTTTTTCAAATGATTTGTGTCTGAGCATAAGGCCGACTTTTTGGCTAGGATTTATATGAGGTTCTCAGTCATTGCATCTCTCCACAGGTGGAAGATGCACTTGCTGATGGGCATGAACATCAGCATGCTGATGCTCCGTTCTCAGTTGTGGCTCTTCACTTGTAACTACGTGCTTCTTCCAGCAAGATTTGAGGTGCACCCAGTATCTCAAAAGGCCTGGCTGGCTTTGTGCCAGTTTTCTTCCTCTAGTCCATGTGACTTTGCGGTGAAGTTCAAGCAGGTACAAGACACACGAGACCCAGGAACGATCTGCTGGGGTCATCCCCTCAGTTGTGCGATCCGGTCAGCAAAGCCCAGACGGTCCACACTAACAGGCGACGCGTGCCGAAGTAGAGGCTGAAGGCACGCACACTAGTCCTTGCGGCTTATGGGCTTTTCCAGCAACTAATTGCGTTTTCCCTTGCCTCAAAGTTATTGCTGCAGCTGCAGGGGAAGAATTTGAAGAATCCAAGAAGTCCGATAAGCAAGTCAAGAAGAAGAAGGCCGCAAATTCACAGGTGTCATCCCTTTGATGCCACTTTTCTGGGCTGTGCCTCCGGTGCAAAATTTGTGCAGGATAGCAAGAAGAAAAGCTAGTTCTGAGTGTACGGGGTTTAGCCAGGTCAACGCACGAGTTGTAGGAGTTTCACGCAGGCAAAAAATGCGGGAGCTTTGCTCCAGGAATCTGACAGCTAGAATCAGTCTTCTTCACAACTCCTGACGAGCTGGTCTTCAGAGCAAAGACTCGCAACAAGTGCTTGTCAAATAGGCACTTCTATAATTTGTTTGAGCCCCAAATCATCGCTAGCCGCCAGTCAACCTCACTTTCATGCAAAAAATAAGGAAACATGATACAACCAATTGTGTATTCAACGAGCTGATGGTTGCGGAGAATCGCTTGCAGCTGGTGCTTGAGACCATCCAGTCCGATCCCAGCAGGAGCAATACTGATTGGTTTTCTTGGTGTTTCAAGCACTTTAGCTGGAGCTTTGGCACCGGTGGAGGCACAAGCTCGAGCCCTTGGGACAATGCCCAGGCAAGGAGCTCAGAGAGAGTGCCCTCAGGAGTGGGCCTGGGTATATAATTGAAATGGTCAGAAAGAATTGCTGAACTGCATTGCATGGTCTAACAATTGCAGCTTTATTCCTAGAGATGGACACTGCTTTTGGTTGGGAATACTGGCCATCAGGGAGTACAAGAAGGACTACATGTACATGCCCAGGAAAATTACAACTACCGGTGTGGTAGGCACTTCTACTTGCCAGTATAACCTCCCTCGCAAAAGTAGAAATGCATAAAAGTTTCTGTAGCAGCTACAAGTATGAGTTTTAAGAGAAGACTTTATATAGAAAGTTTGGAAGGGAGAAGCTTCAGAGAAATGGTCTAGACATGTTGAGGTTGCTGGAGAGCAGTATGCTTCCGTCGCTTGATAGGACCTTGCTGTGTAGCCTTCATTACCTTACACACTTAGACAATGGGTTTGCAGTTAACTCAATTCCACGCGGAAATGAATGAGGGAAACGAAAGGTGAAGCGGTCAGCGCAACTGAATTGTTGAACAATCGGTTCACTTGTCTGCAGAATACGGCGGTGTCGAACTGTCAGCGCGGCCCAGCTGCAAGAAAGGGTTTGGGGGAAGTATCATGCAAGAACCATGGCATCAAAACGTGGGAAAGTGGAGTCACAGCGTGTAGAAAGTTCAGCAGGTACACGAAGGTGATCAATCTCCGCACCCCCCATCGTGGAACAGCTTCGTTGGCACAGGTATCCACGATGGGCCTGTGCCCCCTGCACTTAACAAAACCTCTTTGGGACAGAGTGTGACACACACACGACACTTGTGCCTTGCAGACATTCCCTGTGAAATCACGCGCTTCCAGATCACTCTTACCTTGAAGTGCGCGTTGTTCAAGAGATTGTTGGTTTTGTTCCCTGTAAGTGCTTGAACAAAACACCTTTGATTCATTCCTACTGGTCCGACCGTGGATGACATTAGAAGAGTCTAAGAAGAGGGCCTGGGCCCCGTCCCGCCCATTCTTCCCATATTTTTCCTTGGCTTCCTATCATTCGCAACTCTCCTGTTGCTTCGTGCAAAGCAGGAACCTTTAGACAAAGTCAAGACACTGGCCCAACCGGTGTCAGCATGCCTATATCCAAATCCAATGATTGCAAGGCTGCAGAGCACTTTTCCCATCTTGTGGACGACTGAGCAGACAGATGCAGAGAGTGTACTTCGCGCAAAGAACCCCTTTAGGACTTGCGAATTTAAACATTGATTGAAGGCTTGGGTGTGCTAGCAGCCTGGGAGCACATCAAGACACAGAAGGCCCGATCAGATGTTTCATGCGAGACCAACCAGCGGCCATTTCTTAAACTTTGAGTGGCGACCTGACTCAATGTGAGACTTGCAAAGGAATCGCACACCCTACTTTGCGAGAAAGCTCTGGCTGCTCTCGAGGAGGACAGTGCCTTTCATCGACTTAGGAGACTTGAGGTATGACCTGCAAAGCCGACAATTCGATAGGACGAAGTAGAAAGTGCTGAGGAAATAGCTGTTTTAAACACACTTGGCTTTAAAGTGCTCCCCTCAGTTCTCAAATCACCAAAGGCAGCTTCCGGAAGGAGCTACCTCAACCTTATCTTGAAAAGCAAAACTCTTTATATATTTGCTCAATATCACAATGCTTTCAAGGTTATTGAAGAAGCAGACACTTCAAATGAGAGTGACGCGGCAAAGGACCTGTTGGGAAGCTGCGTAATGTATGTACATTTGATTTGTGGCTTCGTCGTGTCATTGTCCACGTGTGGACAGGACGTGTCTTCCGCTTCCTCTTCGGCTCCAAAGAAGAGTTCGAAGAGTCAGAAGAGTGATGCTCAGCGCGAAGACCTCAAACGTGTGTCACGTTTGTGACATTCACCATATATATATATAGTACCTGCATGTATACCATGTCACGTCTATATTTCAATTTTCTTCAAAACGAATCACTCATTTCAGGTCCTGCAGCATCCGACTGTCTGTTTGCTATCCGGTCGCATCGGGCTGAGGCACAAGTGCGAGTGATACTCAATCCTCGCAGAAAAAAAAACGGTCAAGTCGGAAAGAAAGAAGTCCTCGAAGCAAAAGAAGCGAAAGACGGAAAACATCCTCCAGTCCATCTACCAAACCCAAACGGTCCAAGTCGCGAGGCTGGGGCGATGTTAGACGACTGTGGCTCTTTTCGTCAGGAAAGGGTAGAAGGGTTAGCGATCTTACTTGGTCTAGCAAGCAATGAACCAACATGCACAAATGCAGACAATTATACAATCCTTCGCATGATCGACACAGCTACATAGATTTTGAGGGAACTTCAATCAGCGTTTAAGCATTTGACTAGGGCGGACCCGACGAAGTAGACAAGGCAGGAAAACGCTGGAACCGCGCAACCGCATATGTTCTTTTGTTTACAGCGAGAGATCGACAGGAAAGGCATCCTCGTCGAGGCTGGACCAGAGAACTGGCTTGAATAGTATATATATAGATTCCACAAGGAAAGCATTGCAGAGCTGCTGCACTGCAGGCGAAGGAGGAGAAGGGATTCCCGCAAGCGAAGGAAGTGCTCAGCTTGGAGCCGGATGTTCGAGCCAATCAGAATCAGCAAACATGAGACCTTTTGATCCCAATCTCTTACCAGTACGTAGCTAACTATTCCAACCATATCTTTCTATTAGTGTGCCTTGTGCTGCATAGTAGGGCTCAGAGTCGCTGCAATCTCCTGCATTGCTGCAGATCGAGATCACGCAGACGTCGCAGCAACTTGCCAAGCAAAATGGTGTCTTGATCATGTTGCATGTGTTCCGTGTTCCGGGTCTTTTGCTCTTTCGCGCCTTTGCACTTTTGTTTCAAGGCAGTGATAGATTCAGATGTCGCAGGGCTCTGAGTGTTATGTAAGACCTTTTGCCTTTCCTCTATGTCATCAGAGTTTGCTAGATAAATCAGTTCTTCAAGCTTCCCACATTGCTTTCAGCGCTTGAAATTGTCAGAGGTTCTTACAGTTCTCATCGCGGACACTACCGACGATCCAATCGACGATCGCGAAGTGGGAGGCTCCACCTAATGCGCATTGAACGATTTTTTGGAAACAGCTTCTACAATTCAATGTACCTATTGATGTAGCGCAGGGTTCACAGCCTCACCGACCCTCAGACACACGAAGTCCTGTGGGTCACAACCTGGATCTGAAAAAGCCTTTTCGCGCATGATCGGAATGTCGCAGCGCTACCGGTCTCAAGGACCCTGTAAGCCCAAGTGCAACAGAGAAAAAGGACATTACATGTCATGTAATGCACATGCTGCATTGTGGCATGAACACCGGTAAAGAGAGGTGAAATATTGATTGAAATCGGCGCCAGGCAGAAAATTCAATCCGCAACTGGATCAGTTCGTTTCTTCGATGTTGCTTTTCCGGTTGCGGTGTGAGTAGAATTCGTTGCGGTGCATCCCATCTTGTTACGCAACTCGAAATTCAGCACACGCTGGCTGCCGGACTCCAATCTGGCAGTCCTTCTGCTGCCGGGCTTTGATGCCAACGTTCTTCATAAGGCTCAGACTGCTGTGCAGCATATTGTTCCAGTTTTGGACCTGTTCGTCGGGGCATCCTTTTTGTGTCTTGACTACCCAGAAGCTCGTTGAACTTGTTGCAGTGATGGTGGTCTGTGAAGTTCTATTGTGTCGGCATGCTTCTCGCGTGCGCATCCAGATCACTGCGCTGATATCCTTCTCGGGCAAAAAGACATGGTGCGCGAAGATCTTGAGGGTGAAGGCGACCAGCAGGCAAGCAAAAGCTTTGGCGATCCAAAAACCCGCCGACTTGCCATGTCGCCTCTCTCTCATTGACCTCTGCAACCTCAGCTCCACGTTCGCAGGCGCGACGCGTGTTACAGGGCCTCCTGCTGCAATACTTCTGTCCTTTCTTCCAGGGAGCTTGTGCGCCCAATCCCCTTGCTGCTGTCGCGTCAGCGATCCAACACCTTCGTCGCAGCCTCCTCATGTTATTTCTGTTCAAGTTCCCGCCTCTGCTTTGTGACTTTCTTTGCAGCAGTGTGCGGGGGTTTTATTTCATCGCCTTGTGAAACTGCGTTGGGTTTTGTCAAGCCGATCACCCACCTCCAAGGACCTGGCGTTCTGCCGAGGTGGGGCAAGCTTCACTTCAATGGCTATCCTTCTCTCCGAAAGTCTCCGGCTGTTGACGAGGTCTAGAGCTCGATGCGCGTGAGGACTGAACACCGTTTGAATCCTCGATCGACTCCTTCGAACGACCTCACCCTCATTCTTCTGACAGACAAGCCCAACGATCGGGCGCTGCGTTGCTCTGTGCTGGCTCCAATGAACCACGCTGTGAACCCTCCTCTAGCCACATGGCTGCACTCTTTTGCAGGTCCAGCAAGTCGACGATGTAGCGGCCAGTTGCCTCTCATGTCTCCATCTCCGATTTTCATTCGCCCAGTTGCAAAGTCTTGCTTGGCTCGCCGCGCGTCAAGTGTTGGTGAGCCGGGAAGAAATGGAATTTTGCGTGGAACGACAGCCGCTGTTGGCCACGTCCACTGAAGGTCGCTTTGTATTGAGAGCGAAGCGCTCCTCCAAATTGAACACCTCGGGTCGCGTTCAAACTTCTCAATCTTCAGTTGGCTGATTCCACCTTCCCCCAACTAGGCTTTCGCATTTGTTCTCCTGCAACCATTCGCGCGCAATTCCGGCTAACGTGGTCATGAAAACGCGTTGCAGTGACGTTGACCGTTCCCGAAAGCTGCCGCCCTGTTCTTCCTTTAAGCGCCGGCCATGACTTCCTTCTGTCGATGTTGAAGCCGTTGACGACGAGGTGGTCGGTCCCCTCTGGCCTGACATGGTCTTCTAGTGCCATATGTTCTCACGACCCTTGTCCTTTCGTTTTGCCCCTGCCTGACATTTTCCATCAGTTGAATCAGGTAGGATTGAAGATCCTCGCCCTCGCCTTTGTTGCGGCCGAACCACCAAAGAACGGTCAGCCCGAGCGCCGCTTCGTTCAAGCGCTGCAAAGGCCGCAGACACCAAGGCTTTCCAAGCTAAGTAGTTTAGCTTAGAGATCATGAGCAAAGCACTGCACCTTCAACATTCTCGATGACAGTCTCTCAAAACGGTTCAAGCTGCCGGCGAAAGCCCTTGTAGCTTCTCTTGGTGACCTCTCTCACATACAGTATACTGCCTTGCCGCGCGCGATGCCAAAGAAGTACACGTGCTCGAATTCAAGCAGGAAAGCAACAATGATCCAGCGCGAAGCTCACAACCTCAGCCTCACCATCAAACAGACGCAGTCCTGGGGCCACAACCTGGATCGGAAACAGCGGCGCGTTTCACGCGATCAGAATGTGGAAGCAGTAGCGGTCTCAAGGACCCTGTAAGCCCAAGTGCGACGGAGAAAATCAGAGAAAAAACTGAAAACATGTCATGTAATGCACGTGCTGCATTGTGGCATGAACAGTGCGGGCAGTCTACGGGATTCTACGCTGTTACTGGTATTTCAATGCACTTGGCCTTGCAATGAACTGCATGCTCCACCACAAGGTGCAAAAGCAGAAGCCGACGGCGCCGTTAGGCTGATTGTAGTAGGATCACAATCATGGTGCTTGTCGCTTCTAACAAACTGGCAGTTGTGCAGTTGTTGGACGTTTTGGTTGGTGCTTGCTTGCTACTTGGTCAAGGACCTCCGAAAGAGGTCTGCTCAAGCAGGCAAGGGCGATTTTGTTCCATGGCCTCGCAAGCCTATGCCCTCGGAACGACGTTCATCACGGCTCCTTTGTTTCTTTCTTTTCGTATGTTTCACTGCGGACGGCCCTTCCTGAAAAAAAGGTTTCGCTGACACACCTCTCTTTGTTTTGGTTTGCGTTCCCAGATTCTATGATTGATTTCATTTATTTGCAAACAGAATTTGGCCCAATTGCATCGGAACAAGACTATGTTCAAGGCAGGCCCTTGGTTTGGCGGTATTGAATAGGTCGTATTCAGATTTGGTAGGTTGTGCCTCGGGCACATGACAAGCCTGCGTCACGCCTGATGCCTAGGAGAACCAAGCGTGGTTGAGGAGCGATGAGGCTGCGTTGTCAGACTTGCATGGTTGCGTTCTCAGCTTTGTTAGATTATTCAAAATCACTAGTGTTTTCTCTTCAGCTGGTTAATTTTTCCCGTCCTGTTGACTTTTGGATTTTCCCCTAGCCTTTGCTCTATCAAGGTTGGTGCTTGGAAGGCCTCACTTGGGAAACAGTGAACCAACAAATGCAGACACATCACATGAAAGTGCATGGTGGCAGGTGCTTCGTGATGGATGTCCAAGTATGCGCAGTGATCAACATGTCACACAGGTACTACTGAGAGAGGGAGCTGGGCAGAGCAAGGCAATCATGCGATGTTACAAACATGACGTCCACATAGTTACGATGTTCCATTTCCTCGGAATGGTGGGAGGAGAGGTGGGTCAACCATGCAATGAAGATACAACAATTCTAGAATGAAACCTGCCCAAAGCCTCGCTGCTGGGTTCCAACACCAATCTCTTCAGTTTTGTCATCATCATCAGTTTGCTTTAGCCAGCCCGCTTCGATTCTTATGGAAACTTGACAAGCCATCGACTAGCTGACAGCATACTGTACTGTCAAATCTTGACATTCTCTCTCTCGTTTGGTTGCTCCTGGCCTGTCCTATTCGTCGGGACGGCGGTTTCATCAGTTGACTTGTGAAGCCTTCGGAGTAGGGCCCATTTGTACACGACGTTGGTTCTGAATGGTGAATGGTTCGATTATGTTCTCATGCATGTAACGTGCAAAAATCAGAAGGTGTCCCATGGTGTCCCCCTCCAAGAGTACCAATCCCAGCAGTCGTCAAGTTTTGCCTCAAAGTCACAACTGACAGATGCACATACGGATGTGTGGGTTGAAAAAAAGAGTCAGATGGCCTTGTGTGAGCATACAAGAATGCATCAGGATGAGAGCGCCCCACGCGTGTTGCAACAGGACCACTGGGCACATGGTTTTTGGATGTTTTTGGTATTTGACTTTCCTGAGTCTAACAGCCTTTGTCAACACACCATTGTTCTAATGGAGCTTGCACCTTTTGTTTCGCTTTCGGTGTTTGTGCACACGACACAGGACGAAGATGTGCTTTGGGAGCAAGTGCAAGAGGCTGTGAAGCGGGCCCAAATCATGAAACATTAACACATTAAATTCTTGAATTAATGGGCAGTGTTGAGCCTCTGAAATGGGTGGTCTACTGTCTGCTGTTGTGTTGTGCGGAACTTGCCGATCTTGTAGTGCTGCTGGAAGGTGATTCCTCACATGCTGAAATTCAACAGGAAAGGACGAGAGGACCAACCAACTCACATTTCACAAAAGCTAGGCTTGGCATCGAAGCAGAGCCCGATTGAGATTCATCGTGAAAAGATTGTCTTCTTGGGTAGATGGATGCTAGAGGCATCAAAACAACAAACAGGGTTTAAAGACAAACCAAGTGAGAATCAAGAAGAAACCAGCGCCAGAAAGGAAGGAAGGGAAGCGAAGGGAAGGAAGGAAAGAAAGAGCGTCAATGAATGGCCCCCTCCTCGAGATCCACTCCAGCGCCAAGTTTCTGTGCTAGTCTTAGCTCTTGGAGAAAACTTGGAGTCCCTACCATCAACCCATCAACAAGTGAACACTTGCTTTCGTACTGCTTTCAATTTTTACGACTTTCAGCAAACAGGTTTCTATACATTTTCTATTCAATTTGTTCACCTCGTCTCGCTTTGTACCCCCGCCGCTATGAAAGCACCCAGACTCCTGTTCATCTCCCTTGCCCTCAGACCACTTCTGTTCTATTTTCGTTCACCTTGTTTTTCTCTTGTCCTTTCTTTCTCTTTCTTTCTCCACTTTGCTCGACCCCTCAGCTCACTGGAAACTATTCCATTTGAGAGTCGATGTGTTACTTGCTTTCTGCAAGAGATCAGATAGATACGGACCTTGCCTCCCCTCCACTGTGTGACGTGCTTGGGTATCATTTCACCACGATCATTCCCTCTCACGAGGACTCTTCCTTAAGCTCAGTCGGTTTGCTCCACCTTTGCCAGCACCTTGAGATGTGATTGGATAGCAGAGGACACATGTTCGTTCGACAAAACTGTTGAGGCTCACGCATGATGATGGACATTTCTGAAGCAGATCTGAATCGTCTCTTTCTTGAGCATGACAAGGACAACCCCTGAGTATTCGTCACATTTGCTTTTAGTGGACATGTGCAGGACTGTGATGGGGGACTTAATGCCGCGGAGCTTTTTGATGCTGCAAAGCGCTTTGGCTGAATGCATTCTAGAAAAAAAAGGTGTAAACACTTTGATTTTGTGTAGTCAAGAGTCAAGGACACACAATTTCTTCAAGAACCTCATTAGAGTGTGGACCTGAGCTGACCGGCATCTCGTTAAGCTACAATTGTGTTTGCCAAGGTTGTACTTGCAGCTGCAGATTTTAGAGTTGGCAAGGATTATGACTATTGTCGAAGTCTTCACCTCAACACATGTTTGGTTTGCCAAAAGTAATATTTGATGTGTCACTGTGTTTCAATCCATCGTTGGTCAGGTACGATTGAGAATTATGTAGAGAGTGAGGGAGGTGCAGCAGGCTTGTTATACGAATTTGCTTCTCACTCTTGCTGATTCGGGCAGGTGACGAGGCGGCAGGAATAACACCAATTTCAGCTGACAAAGCCCTTCATGCCAGACGAGTCTCACGCCCAGCCACTAATGCCAGTAGCAGCTTTCGATTTGGCCGCAAGCAAAGTTTGCCAATGTTTTTTTTTCATATGTTTTGATCAGGTACAGTGGCAGGACGCTGTCCTGCGACGTTTGCTTCCAAAGCGAAGACCACAAAAAGAGCCAACATCTCAATTAAACCTCGCTCGATAGTGGTACAATTGCCGCTGCTCTCAGGCCATGGTTAATCCTTGGTTTGGCCATGCCCGAGGCCTTGCCGGAAAAGGCAAGGAGAGATCACGAGGGGATGAATATCAACAATTGTTGCTGGAGATTGCAGCTTGCCTGACGACTTGCCTCCCAAGGCCGATAAAGTCCTTTTGTTTGTTCTGGCAGGTCTTGGGTTGGCTATTCCACCAACAAATTTTGTTCGCCACTTGGTGCTCGTGTGAAATGCTGGTGCGATGCTCCTGCAAAGCTGTGAAATGCTACCACAAAGCTGACTTCCGCAAGGCCCACTGGAGACATGGTAGAGTTGAGCATTGACCTGCTCACTCAGCTCTTTCCGGACTGCAAAGCACTCCTTTAACATACCTAGAAGGGAACCAGCCCTAGCAGGCCAGACTCAAGTTCTTGTCTGCACAGCTGTGGATCGTACATGTGAAGCGCTCAAGAGAATCTCCAGTCCAAGAGCTGTCCTCAACATTTTTTTGTCAATGATTGGTTGTTTTGTTCCCCGCGTGTCTACAGATCTTCATTGGTAGTTCTTTATCATGGTTTATGTCTATGTCTATGTGGTTTGCAATCAAGAGGCCCAAAAGCTGAGCTCCTTCTTTTGGTACCTACATATTTTGTTGGACATCCATCAACGTATTCACAATCACAAGCTTTGTCTTCTGTAGTCAGACAGTCAGACATGTCGTGTTGAAACCTTCACCCCGTCAAATCCCGAAAGATTTGTGAAAGAGACCATCCTTTGAATGCAGTACAGGAAAACAAGAAAAAGAGATGGACAAAGAGATGAAAGAAGGATCACTTACCTTCCCTTTTTCCGTCTCTTTTCCTTGTTTTCAAACTGCGTTGAAACGACATTGGTCAACCCCCGTGTCTTCGTCATGTTGTAAGATGACTTCCGGGTGGATCTGTTCCTTGCTCCTTCCTACCCAACACCCTGTGCGGCCTGTGCGGATCATTCTCCCCACATTCTTCTCCTTAGCTTCTTGCTCCTAGTAGCGATGCCAGGAGCCCCTAGTAGCGTCCTTGCTCCTAGTAGTACAGGCAGGAGCCCCTAGCTTCTTGTTCCTAATAGATTGTGACTGTTATGTCTTTTGACCAACTTGGAGGACTGGTTTTGTCTTTGGATGACATTCTTGCTGCAGAAAGCCCCTTCTTCCAACCGGAAGAGGGGGCACAACAACAGATACATATCATGCATCATAATACGCATATCCAGCATATCATACTATACCCAAATGATGAACGTGTGCATACAACTTGGGACTTTGAAGGTGAGATGAACAGTGCCTTTGAAATACTAGCAAATGCAGAGCCAATGCACTAGCACATTTGCACTGAATAGATCACCGTAGAGACAGAAGCTTCTTGCAGAAGCTTCTTGCAGAGCCAACGGTGCACAGTTGGGGGTTGAACACCAGCACAGTACAATCCATCCAACCCTTGCTCCGAGAAAGTCAAATCACCTTTATTTGAAGATATTCTCACGAACTCAGCAAATTGAGTACCAACGAAGAAGAGCTGGGAAAACAGTCTGTCAGTCTGTCATTTTCAGACACTTTCCAAATAAGTGCTTGTCAGCACTACAGACGATCTCAATCACAGACTTTCATTGCAGGTCATGGAACTTTGCAGATCAAACCCACCGGCGCAGGTAGCACATACTGACCACAGATTGTGCTTGTCCATATTTGTTTATACAGTGTATAAATTATATAAGTATATTTTTAAAGGAATTCTATGCACACAATATAAGTATATGGTGCCCCGCCCCCGGGGATAAAGACTAGTCACAACCTTGGATGGTTCCGTAGTGTTTGGCTCTAGCTCCGGTTGATGACCTGTCGAGGGTGTCATAACCGGTTGCGTTTGCCGGTAGGCACTTCGGGGCATTGCAATCCCTGCTATCTCGCTGAGCGGATTCAGCGAGTTGTGTTGACCCGTTATCCTCCCGCCAAGGCTCAGGAACTCACCCACTATCTGGCCAAGGTCTTGAACACCCTTGAGGCGGATACAGTGGCCTTTGATGGGTCGTGGATATTGAGGGTTATTTGGTGGAGGTGAGGAAGCTTGAGAAGACCAAGCTACCACCAAAGTTGGCCGTGGGGTTCACCCTGGTGAGCGAGATCCTCGTGCATCATCCGCGAGCGGGGCAAAGAAGGCACAAGGAGCCTGAAGACAACAGCACTCCTGACAATCCTTCGAAGCATCGACGTCGAAGGCGGGAGGAAAAGGCAAGGTCGAGGAGCAGAAGCAGGAGACGGGAACGCAAAAAGGTAAAGAAGGAACCTACCCCTGAGCCAGAGGAGGAGGTAGCAACAGAAGAAGAGGCTGAAGTAGAGGAAGCCGAGGCAGAAGCAGAGGTTGAGACAGACGAGAAGGACGAAGAGGTTATCGAGTCACCTCGCAACGACGAGGCCAGCCCTGACACGGAGGTTGCCCGTGACCCGGAGGGAGCAGGACTTCGAAAGGTCCCACCGAAGCCCTCAGCAAGGAAACCCTCCAGCAGAGGTCAACCAACCACATAGTTCATCATTTCACTTTGGACCGCATAGTTCGTCTATATGGTTCTGCTGACCAGAGGGCCGTGCGTAAACATTTCTTTTGGGGTTTTGTCCGAAGATTGGACACAATATCGCATTTCTATCAAATGTTCTGGCTGCAATAAGACAGCTGCTAGGCCGCTGTTCAGGCCACTCTTGTTCCTAAGCAACCTTGGTTGAAATGAAAGGTTACGCTAAATGACTGATGAGTTCTACGTGAAAGGTCAGTGGTTAACGCGCCAAAAAAACCGCCCAGACTGGCTCAATGATGTGGGGTGTTACAAAAGCTGCGCCAGAGGGCTTTCAATTTTGTTTACTCTGGTTGGTGGGACACTCGAAGTGTTGTAATTTAAATTGTTCAGATTCCACACACGGGTTTTCTTTTGTTTTTTGATGCTGCGCGCTTGCTCCTTAATTTGCCCTCGACACACGCTGACCGTTCGCCAGTTTTCGCAGCGGGGTCGGGCACTGCAAGAGTCCAAATAGAAATCATACCAAGATGAGTTTGTTCTGGTGAATGTGGAAACCTAAAGATCTTTTGGGGCATTCTTTGGCGGGCGGTTTTTTGTGGCCCATGTTGTCATGGCGCAGCGTGGGCGAGGCTCTGCCCTCAGTGTTGCCAAAGCAAGATGAGTAGCAAGATGGTCTTAAGCCGTGCAAGCGAGGCATCTAACCTCCAGAATTGATGGCTCTGGTGCAACCCTGAGCCGACAGTACTTCTAGTTCGAATATGCACTTAATGGCCCACACGCTGTGTTTTTTGCTGTGTTTTTTAAGCATTGGCTCAGCGTGACAAAGACCCCAGCCTTTTGTCGGAGGACGCCATATGGGCACGGGAGGAAGCCCAATGGGCAGGGAAGATTGGCTTTGCAAAAGAAACGTAGGGACAATTTGGCCTGTGTGATCAGTGAGAAGATCTCCAACTCTCTCGACCATGAAGTGGTCGAACAGACCGGAAGTCTTTTCCCTCGTGTTTGCAATTTACGCAAACGGGACCATCGTCGCTTCTCGTTCCTCAAACATGTGGGTGAAGGCAAGAGGATGTTCACGAAGAAACTCTGTCACAGCGTCACCAAGAAGGTGGCCCGCTCGCTCCCCTACCAGCTGGTCTTTGACCCGAAGCTAACTCTCGAACAACATTTGCAGGCCCAAGCAACCAGGCTGCAACTGCTGGCTAGGAGGGTCAAGCGCATGGCTGATGAGACTCAGCCTTATGCTTCGGCCCCAGTTTGCTTGTACATGCAGTACGAGCTTTTGAAGTGGGTGTCAACAGACTTCAAATTAGACTGGTATTGTTTCCGAATGGTTCTTAGAACGCAACGTCCGAGGATTCCCACGCCGCTTCCGAGGTTGGGTTCTTAAAAGCAAACCGTCAGCTACATATTTTGTGTAGAAGGAACGCACACTCCCCAAACTGTTACGGAGGGACGCTGGGATCAGTCCAAATCAATTTTGTTGGAGCCTGCCTTCAGTCTCCGCAAAATTGTTATGAGGCTTTCATGCGTGTGTTGGGGAGATTCAGCAGCGCACGTCGGTGAGTATCTGGTTTTTTCCACGCGCGCAACTGCAAAGGCTTTCCATGCAGCCGCTGCAGCTGAGTTAGAGGCCACCTGTCGACCGTGAAGCTTCCGATTCCAAAGTGTAATGCAGGAAATCTTAACACGAATACATATGAGAAAGTCGTGCGAGTGGAATTCAGCAACATCTGGAAATATACATACCGCACATGTTCAACAGTTCAGCTTTCTTGCAGGAATTCTCTCAACAATCTTTGAGCGTGACGGACATTGAGGAACCACCCGTTTGTGTTTGGCACCTGTCTTAGTTGGAGCCACGGTGTTTTAACAGGAGAGTTCTGAAGAAGAAGAAGAAGAACAGGTGGAGGATACTTAGCACTATGCGCATGTAAACTACACATGTTCAATCATTATGCCACTGCAGGACCCACGCCAACCCACCCCAGAATGTGAAGAAGACAGGGATTCCGTCCAGGAGCTATTGCAAAACCAAACAAGTCTCACGATGTTGCATGAAACCCAACAACAGTGCAGGAGTGGTGGGAAGCGGCTATGGATCCCTTCAGCTCTGATCCCTTCGGCGATGAGGCTTCTGCCCTTGGATTTCCACGTATATTAAAAAAATATATATATATACATATGCATGTGTGCGTGTGTGTGTGTGTGTTTGCGTGTCTAAGCTCTGGTCTATGGGCGGATGATTCAGTGGCGGTCAAATTCCAATTCCAGGACGGAGATGTACATCTATATGATGGCCAAGACTGGGAGGACCCACTTGACTAGTTTCCAACCTCATTCTCCATTTCACTATGTGGAGGATCAAGGGCACAGCAGTTCGTTTTTCTCTTTTGCCTACGCTCGACAGGAAGAGGGGTACTTGTGGGAGGATCATCTTTATGGCAAGGATGACCAGGAGGATGACCAACTGTAAACCGCGCTAGGGCCACTTAGCTAGCCCCTTTTTTTTCGACTGGCGCTTTATGCAAACACAAACTTTTCATTGGAAGTTCTTGAGCTTAAACAACGTGTGTCATGTTCGTTGCAGGACGTGGCTGGCGATTGGTGGGGCTGCTTTCAAGAGACCTGGACCAGCGAGGATCCATTTTGCGACGTTTGTTTTTCAACCGTTCAATCGCTCAAACTGCGACAATTCCGCCAGACGTTAGGAGCTTGGGATTGAAGGCGAAGAGAAAGCGAAGAAGGCAGTGTTTTTGTAGCCAGACCAAAATCACAACTCGATGGTGAGTTGGCCTTGAGTGTTGATAGGTGAGAAA